GTTTGGGAGCTCTCACTCCTGTGATGGTAGAGATGAACAGTAAAAGCTAGGAGTCTCCCAGCGAAAAGGCAGAACAAGATGATGCGATCTGTGGGAGTTTCCAGGCCAGGCTTCATGAGGTATGTAATTGGCCTACAACTATTGCAGGGGCATTAATCAACTTTGGTCAAAGCTGCACAGTTTGTTTCCATCTACAGGCGCCCCTTAGCTGCATGGGCAGTTTTTGGTAAAGGTGAACTATGCCTTTAAACTGGAACAAAGGCAAGGATTAAAAGATATCGAAGCTGCATGTAAGTGATGAAATCAGCTGCTGAAAGTGCTTAACCACTTGCCTACTGGGCACTTATACCCCCTTCCTGCCCCGGACAATTTTCAGCTTTCAGCGATGTCATAATTTGAATGACAATTGCGCGGTCATGCAACACTGTACTCATATGAAGTTTTTATCATTTCTTTGAGACAGATAGAGATTTTCTTTGGTGGTATTTAATAACCTCTGGGTTTTTTATTTTTTGCTAAACAAACCAAAAACAACTGAAAAATTTGTAAAAAAAAAGTTTTTTTTTTAGTTTTTGTTATAAAAATTTTGTAAATAAGTGATTTTTCTCCTTCACTGATGTGTGCTAATTAGGCTACAGAGATGGGCACTGATGGGCACTAATGAGGAGGCACTGGTAGGTTGCACTGATGGGCATTGACAGGCATCACTGATGGGCACTGAAAGGCAGCACTCATATATGGCACGGATAGGCAGCACTGATAGGTGGCACTGATAGGCGGCACTGACTGGCACTGTTAGATCGCACTGACTGGCACTGTTAGGTTGCACTGATAGGTGGCACTGACAGGCACTGATAGGCGGCACTGGTTGGCATTGATAGGTGGCACTGACTGGCATTAATAGGCGGCACTGATAGGTGCCACTGAAAGGCAGCTCAGATGGGCAATGATATGTGGCATTGATGTGCTCTGGTAGACACTGATATGTGGCATTGATGTGGCACTGATGGGCACTGACAGCTGGCATTGATGGACACTGACAGGTGGCACTGCTGGGGCTATACTGATCATCAGGGCACTGAACCTTCAGTGCCCTGATGATCAGTGTACATGTGCCCTCTGAGGAATGCTCTCCTCTCCTTTCGAGCTGTCAGCGTGACAGCTCGTGGGGAGAGAAATGCCGATAACTGCCCTTTCCTTATTTACATGCAATCAGCTGTGATTGGACACAGCTGATAACATGACCGAGCCGACGTCTTCGGCTCTTTCCATTGATCTGTGATCAGCTGTGTCCGAGGGACACAGTACACCACCGATCACCACGCTGCACGCCCCTGGAGCCGCGCACGCGCGGTTAGAGTGGGAGGACATCATGGGGTTTATTTACTAAAGCTGGAGAGTCCAAAATCAGACTCCCTTCTGCATAGAAACCAATCAGCTTCCAGGTTTTATTGCCAAAGCTTCATTGAACAAGCTGAGGTTAGAAGCTGATTGGTTTCTATGCAGAAGGGAGTCTGATTTTGGACTCTCCAGCTTTAGTAAATAAACCCCCATATGACGTCCTCCCAGAACAAGAGAACCGCCGTGTGCCCGTCATTACCTTATATGGCGGGCGGGAGGCGGTTAAACAACTGAGGGTTTAATATAACTTTAAGTGTATTTAAGCAATTAGTGAAAGCGCCCTGATTTTAACTTACTGTCAGCCTCTTGCAATTCTCTGTACAGCTGATCTCAGAGAGGGAAGCAACACATCAGTTGTGTTGCAGTGCTCATGTGTTAACAAGAAACATGCTGATAGAAGGAGAGAGCTGAGTCACAGAAATGCAAGCTCATCAGTCTACTGCTATTTATTTGCATGGTGGGGGCAGGGAGGCTACCTCACTGTATTACTTAAAGCGGAGATCCAGTTGAATAAAAAAAAAATAAAAGTCAGCAGCTACAAAAACTGTAGCTGCTGACTTTTAAAGTACAGAGACTTACTGTACCTGTTTCTCAGTCCAGCCGTGTCCTCACCATGGCTGGTTTCACCAGCCATCTTCTCTCCCCACCGCCAGAATCTACAATGTGGGTATCCGGCTGTGACAGCTTGTGGCTGCACAGCCGGGTGCCCACTACGCATGCACGAGTAGCACTGGGCTATGTGAATGGTCCCATAGTCTTCTGGGACCTGTCACATGTCCCAGAAGACTATGGGGAGGGAGGGAGAAGGACAACTTTTGCTTCCAATCGCCTTAGGCGATCACAGCGGAAGTGGGAGTGGGTACCTGTCAAAATCGAGTACCTGCTCCCCAAAGCAAATCTTTAATGGGGAGCAGGGGGACAAAGGCCTAAAGAGGAACTTCTCCTTTTGGGTAGAGCTCTGCTTTAACAGCAGTTGTGAAAAGTCAGGTGTCCAGGTTATCTGTAGTGTTTAGGAGGACTGTCTAAATCTCAGGGAAAAAAACAACTCCCTTATGTATTTCATCTGTGTATTAAGCTGTTTGCCTGAAGTCCAGCTTTAAAGACCTCAGTTTATTTCATATATACACAGATTAAAGGGAAATGTGAAACAATGAAAAATGTTCTCAGAATCTGAATTTCTGTTAAATAGATAAAGCGGTAAAGTGTTCAGGCACATTCGTCAGACTAGATGTTCCAGCATTTGCTTCAAATTTGTTAATGTTCTCAGCGAATGTGTTATGGAAGAATGTTAAACCTAGCAAATTATGGAATTTGCTTATGGCCCCTTTCACACAGGCATTGTAGGTTGGTAAAAAACAGGTTTAGATGCATTTTTAAATCACCTCAGCAGCCTGTCATAACCAGGCAATGTCCAACAGACAGCCCCATACATATTGCATTGCCTTGGCATGTCATGTTCAGCAGGTGATATGACCTGAAACCATACCCAATGGAGGCAAATCAGCCAATGCAACCGCTTCCAGTGGACTTGCTACACAGTGAATGGGGATTTCAGTGTGAAATCCCTCTTCAAACAGGCATCAGGAGGTGGCATATCACCTCACAATTGTTTTCTAACTGCAGGTCAGCTGCTGTTGACATTGCGATCCACCCATGTGAAAGAAGCCTGTAAGCAGCAGCAACCTGCTGTTGTGTTTAAATGCATTCTATCAGACCATTGCTGTCTGGGCTAAACACATGGCCTAAAACTCCAGTTCCATCCTAATGGATCTGACTGACCATAGTCCAATGCACAGGCACAGGATTCTGTAGCCTAATTGCTGTTCAGCAGAAATGCCTTGAGGGATTACCCTTTGAAGGCAGAGCACTTATTTGGGCTTTCCTTGGATAAGTTTATCAAGGAGATTACGAGGGTATGAGTACTCTCCTCTACAGACCTACAATTGTAGCTCTCCTACAACTTGACACATTTGGCCAACCTAAACATGTATTGCAATGTATGTGCAAAGTTTGCTAGAAAGGGTGTATAGCAATGTGCAGAGGATTCATTCAGAATTTTTAGTGTTAACATGTGGTCACACCCCTTTAGCACCTGATGGGTTATATACAGTATATGTAGCATGCTTCTTGAGTAGGGTAGGCTGCTAGGCAAATTTAGTTGGCTCCACTGTAATCAGAGAAGCAAGGGTTGATTATTTAGGGCTGTTCAGTGTCTCACAGAATACTGCTTTGTTACTTCCCCTTGTCTTCTAGAGGACTCTAGAATAATAGTGGGAGAAAGATTAAATCATGCACCCTGAATATTTATGGGCCTCCAGCCAATCCTTGGGGAGGTGTGCCCAGTAAATATTTGAAGGGGCTTTACATAGTTTGAGGCCTGAGGCAACAGGTGCAAAGTTCCTGCTGGAGGAGACCCTCATGTATGGAGCTCTGTTTCTGGTGCAAATTTCTAGAAGGAGCCATCAGGAAGACACTAAAGTCCCAGCTAGGCTTAGCTTGGGGGCCTATTCGCAAGCTTAAGTCCTGGGATCAAGTTGGGTCTGGAGAAGCACACTGGAGAGAGCCAGGAGGAAGTTGGTGGGGAAAGAGTCCAGCTGTCCTATGGTGGTGTGAGTGTACATCTCCCTCCCTAGGAAGAGCCTGGTGGATACTGGCAGGAGGCAATCGATGAGCCTGTGGCTATGTTAGTATATGACCCCAGTGCTAAAGAGCTAGTGACTGCGTGCAGATTTTACTCTGTGGAAGGAGTACTGTTCACACACAGTACAGTACAGCCAGAAAGTTAAGGAGTCCTCAAGTTACTTAGTTCTACAATTTATTGAGGTATCCCATGCTCCCCCATCCTATCCAAGTTCAACATTCCCAATAAAAACCCAAAATGAAACCCCTAGACCAGTGATGGCGAACCCGTGGCACGCGTGCCACAGCCGGCACGCCGAGCCTTATCTGTGGGCACTCCAGGAGAATACCGTATTTTTCGCTCCATAAGACGCACTTTTTTTTCCCCAAAAAAGGGGGAAAAATGTCAGTGCGTCTTATGGAGCGAATATAGAGCGGCCGGTCCGGTATTTCCACCGCCGCCGTGTCAGAATACCGGGCCGGCCGCTCAGCTCTGCAGTGGGACCGTACCTGTCCCTCTATCCAGCGGCGCGCTGTCTTCCCAGCTTCTGTAGTGTGCGTGACAGCCGGGTCCCAAGTGCGCATGCGCAAGAAGCAGTGCTCTTTGTGAATGGTAAGGCGGTACCTGGGACACATGACAGATCCCAGAAGCCGCCGGACCAATCACAAAGCGCAGCGCTTCTCGCGCATGCGCACTGGGCATCCGGCTGTCCGACGAGCGCCCACTCTACAGAAGCCGGGAAGACAGCGCGCGGCTGGATAAAGGAACAGGTAAGATAAAAAAAAACTCTGCGGAAGTAAGAGCGGGTACCTGTCAAATTCAGGTACCCGCTCCCCCTCCCTCCCCAAAGGTCAGCAGTCATCTGTACTGTCCGCAGTCTCTGGTCATCCCTGTACTGTCTGCAGTCTCTGGTCATCCCTGTGCTGTCCGCAGTCTCTGGTCATCCCTGTGCTGTCCGCAGTCTCTGGTCATCCCTGTGCTTTCCGCAGTCTCTGGTCATCTCCTGTACTGTCCGCAGTCTCTGGTCATCCCTGTACTGTCCGCAGTCTCTGGTCATCCCTGTACTGTGTCCGCAGTCTCTGGTCAACCCTGTACTGTCCGCAGTCTCTGGTCATCCCTGTACTGTCCGCAGTCTCTGGTCATCCCTGTACTGTGTCCGCAGTCTCTGGTCATCCTTGTACTGTGTCTGCAGTCTCTGGTCATCCCTGTACTGTGTCTGCAGTCTCTGGTCATCCCTGTACTGTCCGCAGTCTCTGGTCATCCCTGTACTGTGTCCGCAGTCTCTGGTCATCCCTGTACTGTGTCCGCAGTCTCTGGTCATCCCTGTACTGTGTCTGCAGTCTCTGGTCATCCCTGTACTGTGTCTGCAGTCTCTGGTCATCCCTGTACTGTGTCCGCAGTCTCTGGTCATCCCTGTACTGTCCGCAGTCTCTGGTCATCCCTGTACTGTTAATTAGTTTTGCACTACTGTACGAGTTGTTTTTTCTAAACCAAAAGCTCGATATTCAGGTTTCATTGCAGTGTTGGCACTTTGAAAGAAATAAGTTGGTTTTGGGTTGCAGTTTGGGCACTCGGGCTCAAAAAGGTTCGCCATCACTGCCCTAGACTGTTCCTTGGAGCCAGCGGAAGAGTGAAGAAAATGCAGTTTTCCTGACTGTGTGTGCTAAATGTGAGGTAATAGGACTACATTCACCAGCGGCTCTTAAGGGGATGTGCTACATATCTGTATAAGTTAATGTGATTTAAGCACAGGTATATCTTTTTACTATTGCATAGTTCAGGTCAGTGACCAGACCTGCACTTGTAGCTCTCCTACAACTTATATCTGTCTTCCCCAGATTAGCCCTATATTTATGCATTTGCATTTTGCACAGTAGAGTAGGGACTGGCCAGAGAGGGATTACGTTGATGTAGTTGACCAGTTTAAACATGTATTGCAATGTACGTAAACTAAAAATCCCTGTTTTTGGGCAAAGTTTGCTAGAAAGGGTGTATAGTAGTGCACAGAGAGTTCATCCAGAATGTTTCTCGTTAACATGTGGTCACACCCCTTTAGCAGTTGATGTGTTATATAAATGTATAAAATATTGGAATTTGAGCACAAGTATACCTTGCTTCTATTGCAGTGTCAGTCAGTGAACAGACCTCAACCTGTAGCTCTCCTACAAATTGTGTCTATTGCCTCATATCGGCACTCTATCCACTGGAGTATTTGCATTTTGCAGAGCAGAGTAGGGACTGGCCAGAGAGTAATTACTTTGATGCAGTTGGCCAACTTAAACATGTATTGCAATGTATGTAAACTAAAAATCCCTGTTTTTGTGCAAAGGTTGCTAGAAAGGGTGTGTAGTAGTCTGCAGAGGGTTCATTCAGAATTTCTAGGAAAAGAAGGCTTGAACCTCCACCAATGGCATTAGGGTTTTATTTTGTTCCTCTCTGTCTTCATCTGCTAAGGCTAAGACAGGAATGTACTAGTGTATTCCTATTGGTTCAAGGGGACATTATTTTTTATGCTTTTTATTCATATTGCACCATATTTCATTTTTTTTACATTCTTTTATAGGTGTATGGGTGTTAAAAGCATGAGGACTGCAAAGCGAAATAAAAACGAGAAGCGCACAAACCTTGCGCATTACCTCAGTAAACAGAAATTTATTAAAAAGAAAGGTACTCACAAACAGCGAATAAAATCAGGCATGTAAGTCCTCACAGGGACTTCAGAGATAGAGGGCCAGCGCGAGTCCCATTGTGGGGGTAAGCACTCAGTTCAGCTGACGCGTTTCGAAGGCCAGACCTTCTTCATCAGAGCTGACTGAACTGAGAGTGATCGCTCCCTTTTATATCCCAGGACTGAAATATTGACCCACCCCTCTGGGTTGGGCAGTCACAGGCTGGGAGGGGAGGGGGGAGGGGAAAACCCCAGGTGTCAACAATAAATAAGATCTAGTTGTCAAACTGACGACAAGACATGATAAAAATAAATCTGTGTATATAAAAAAACATATGAGAAATATATATATATATATATATGAATATACCCACATATACACATATAAATAAATAAATAGAGTTTAAAACAATAATACGAATATCATTAATGATAGTGATAAACATGCAAGAAAAAGAAACTACTAGATGAATGAAAGAATGGTAATAAAATATAAATAGTATAAATAGTATAAAATCATATCCAAACCTAATAATAAATAAATAAATTCATCAGTCATTGGGTGTGCACACATGTGTATATGATCATCACCATATATATGAATTAGAAACTCATTAATTGATTAATATTAACATTATTTATGAGACCTGAGTATTCCTATGTGGCTTGTGCGGATCGGGAGGAGGAAATCCCATGTGTCGGGCTGGTCGGTCATATTCAATACTTAGCAGCAGAGGGAGATCTACTGTCTCCCTGCTATGGCTGCAGATTGCTCGCTGTTGTCCTGCAGTTAATAAACTGTTTAATGGGATAACTTTTCCCATCAGTGCTAGTGAAAAACCGTTTCCGATGGCATATGACACCACAGGTGCCACATTTGGAGACACCACACCTATAGCTTCCTTTTTGATCAAACGGCACTAACCACTGACCTGGGTTGGGTGTCGCGATTTTTCGTAACCTACTCGGCGCTATTAAGTTCCTAAGATCTCTAGGTTTTCTAAAAATAAGTGATGGTTTATCCGGAAGTGCGTTTCCTAGAGTGGGATCGTTTTTGAGAATATTCCAATTCTTGGACAAAATGTGGGGAGATTTTTAGTGGTCTCTCAACTTTATTAGTGCCAGTGAGCACTTTGAGCTCATGTTTTATTGGTTATCATGGGTTTACAGTAAGGCACGCTTTGACAGTGTGCTTATACATGTGCTTGGGTGTGGAAATGCACACCAGTCTAGATTTTGTATTGCATTATGCATTGACATCATTCATTTTCTCTCCCATATATATATTTTTGCTATATTTTTGTTTTTCACATATGCACCTATTCGTGCATAAATTAAATTATTAAATTAATAAATTATTAATGAGTAATATACGTTAATATTATTTTTACAATCCATTACTTATTACTTATGAATAATTTATTAATGATTTATTACCATCTCTATTTTTCTTCACTATGTCTCATCACTATTGTGGCAGCTGGTGTCTCTAAGTTTGCCCTCTAGAATTGGGCACTTGAGATGTCCGTTAGTGGTTTGGGCAGATTTTGCTCCCAGTTGAGTGTTTCTCCCTGAGCTTTGTCTGTGTGAGGACTGGCAGGGAGCGCTGTCACCCTGTCTTACGAGTGGCGTCGTTTCCACGCATGCGTATTGGCTGTCGGAAGTGTTTGGCTGAGATCACGCCGACGGGCCAGCTCTTCACGCACTGCGCAGGCGCGTGCTGGTCGGCGCATGCGCAGTTAGGTCCACACTGTATTGGCGTGCGTTCCAGGGAGAAGCAGTCAGCAGCGAGCAATCTGCAGCCATAGCAGGGAGACAGTAGATCTCCCTCTGCTGCTAAGTATTGAATATGACCGACCAGCCCGACACATGGGATTTCCTCCTCCCGATCCGCACAAGCCACATAGGAATACTCAGGTCTCATAAATAATGTTAATATTAATCAATTAATGAGTTTCTAATTCATATATATGGTGATGATCATATACACATGTGTGCACACCCAATGACTGATGAATTTATTTATTTATTATTAGGTTTGGATATGATTTTATACTATTTATATTTTATTACCATTCTTTCATTCATCTAGTAGTTTCTTTTTCTTGCATGTTTATCACTATCATTAATGATATTCGTATTATTGTTTTAAACTCTATTTATTTATTTATATGTGTATATGTGGGTATATTCATATATATATATTTCTCATATGTTTTTTTATATACACAGATTTATTTTTATCATGTCTTGTCGTCAGTTTGACAACTAGATCTTATTTATTGTTGACACCTGGGGTTTTCCCCTCCCCCCTCCCCTCCCAGCCTGTGACTGCCCAACCCAGAGGGGTGGGTCAATATTTCAGTCCTGGGATATAAAAGGGAGCGATCACTCTCAGTTCAGTCAGCTCTGATGAAGAAGGTCTGGCCTTCGAAACGCGTCAGCTGAACTGAGTGCTTACCCCCACAATGGGACTCGCGCTGGCCCTCTATCTCTGAAGTCCCTGTGAGGACTTACATGCCTGATTTTATTCGCTGTTTGTGAGTACCTTTCTTTTTAATAAATTTCTGTTTACTGAGGTAATGCGCAAGGTTTGTGCGCTTCTCGTTTTTATTTCGCTTTGCAGTGTTGGTCGGGTTTCCCCAGCCTTGTTTGGAGCTGCACAACCTTTGAAGCACTGGTGGCCGCTGTTTTTTTAGTTCTGGTTCCATCTATTTGCCACCTGCCTGGGTCCTAGAGCGCAGAAGAATTCGTGTTTGGTCTAAAAGCATGAGGACCCCATACATTTTTTTTCCAGAAACTGCACTGGACTTATGAGTTTAGAATACAAATAAAACTTTGCAGAGTTATTATCTAAATAGTTACAGATATTTTTTAGAATCTACTGCTTGGAAAGTTTCCTCTGAAGGAAAGAGACAATCGGGAGCTCAAGTCTTTAGCTACTTACTTATTTTATGCCTTGTATCTCTCATAAACTATCTTCCCTATTAATGGTAGGAAAGAGTTAGACGCTTATTTGAGAAAGCACTGTTATTAGGAAGGAACAAATAAATCACACAGAGTAAGCTAGTCCTTGAATATACTTCATGACTTTATATTACTGCGGCTTTCCAGACTGTCTGTCACTAATGGATTTCCTGGGATAAAGGACTCTACTGGTGTGCATATATAATTTTGTTTCTTGTAAGTGATCAGTAAAATGTTTTTTTTTTTTACATGTAATTTTCTCATTTTGTGGATGCTAATTTAGGTACAACTTCTTTTTCCTGACTGTTGTGGGGAAGCACTCACATGTGTAGGTGTGAACACAAATGCATTATGATATCATAAGTATGAAGTTTCACATGTCTGGGTAATGACTGAAATTTATATTTTCCCATTGCTTGTTTCATCTAAGGGTATACAACATGTTCTTCAGATTTACGTAAAGTGAAGGAAATAATTATCTTTTGCCTTTTAAACTTCATTATTTGTTACATACATAAAAAATTATTTGTTACATACATAAAAAAGTAAAAAATCTATCATTTTCACAATTATAGTCTAAGACTCACCACCCAAGATAATATGTTACTATACTTCGCATATGGGTGTCCATTTTGGCCCAACTCCAACTCCTTATCCCGATTTCTTTCTTTCCTGCTACCCCCCTCT